CACTATTTTTTTCTAAAAGCGTGGTATCTTTTAATAGAGTATTAATTCGTTCTAAATATATTTTTAAAAATAATTGAAATAAATATTATCTAAATTCTTAGTACTAAAACATTAAGAAATAAACTAGGGAAATGACTACAATAATTTGCAACAGTTTTTATTGAATAAAGCTTAACAAATAAACTAAAACATGTTAGAATTTAAGTTCGTTATGTTTTGTAATGGTTTTAATAACTTTTAAACATCGTTTAACTGATACTTATTCAAAAATTTATTGCTAAACTCTACTAAATGTTGAGAATAAAATATATTAATTCATATTTTATGACTTTTAAAAATAATTGATATTTTTAAAATCAAAACAAAAGTAATATCGTTATTAAATAGTAAAAGACAATTGATTTTATTCAAGAAAGTCTCAGATAAAATAAAGTTATCAAGCAACCAAACAAAGCATATTTCACTGTTAAACTATTTACTTCATTTAACAATATTTCATATTATATCTCTGTTTTCAGAGTGTTAATTTTCAAAATTTATACAAAAAAAGATTTATTTATATCGTATGAACTATTATGTTTATATTTTTTGTCTTATTGAAAGAATAATTCTAGTGTCATGTTTTATTTAAAAACTTTCATATACTTAATACACATCTAAAATAGTATATTTCATCAAGCAACTTCAATTGTTATCATTTACAAAAAAAGAAAATTCATCGAGTAAATGTCAAAACCCACATAATTTTGCATTAAAGTTAAAATTGTATATTAAAATGTGCAAGCCTTGTAATAAAATTGGGTACAGCCTAATAGAGAATATTACGTTTTGGTTATAACAGCCAAATTAATTTTTATTGATTTGAAAAAAAATAATAACATATTATATTAGCAGAAAAGAAAACTGATAAACATTTTTAGTTGAATAAAAATCAAAAAATATGTCAATAATTATGCTTTAGATTGATAAAACATTTTTTTATAAAAGATAATGATGTAATTTGATATGAGTATTTTTTCAATTAGTTAAATATTAAAAAGACAATTGATCAAAAAAGTTATGGATAAAAAAAATATATTAAACTAAAGAAAATAATGTCTTTAAGAATGCTAAGAAAAAAAAAATTGTCAAAAAAACCTTTTCTGATAGCATTTATTCTTTGGTAAAATATTACAAACAAAAATCATATGTATTGAATGTATTTTGTTGTAAATTACAATTTTACATAAAAATTTATTTTACCTTATAAACTTTACTTCAAAATATCGTTTATTCTATATGCAACATAAAAAAAACATCGAAATGCAAGTGAAATATACATATCAGCGAAAAGTATTTGTAAAAAACTTTTTTCTGTTTACTGAGAAGGAAATAAAAAATATCAATGTTCTCATTTTTATGCGTTTTTGTTATTAAAAAGTGCAAAAATTATATTTAACTTACATCAAAATTAAAGTACACAAAAAGGTATTTTATATTATTTGTTTTTCTGTGAAATATATTATAATAATTGTCATCAAAAGCCTCAAAAGATATTAATATAAAAATTTAGAATGGTACTAATTTTAACAATATTTTCTAAATTCTATTTTTTATCTAATTTTATAAAAATATCAATATTTGATGAAGATTATTTTGGTTTTTTTAGTCATTAATACAGATCATCGAAGGCATCCTCTAAAAATTAAAATTATTCAAAAAAAACTAAATTGCGTTTATAAAATCCTAAAAATGTATAGCATCTATATAAAAATTTTTTATAAAATGTCTAATTTACAAATATCATATAATTTAATGCTGTAGCTTGCTCAATCGCGCATGTTGCGTCAGTTCGTCTAACCTATATGTTTTATAAATAAAATAAAAAACAAAAATATTTATAAATAATAAAACAAAATACAAATCTACTTATCTATGTTTGAAAAGATTTCTTCATTTTATATACATTTATGTGTGGAGAATATATATATAATTTTTGCGATTATATGCGTCACTTTTTGCTACTATTTTGATTTGAAAACTAATTAAACAAAACCGCGGAATTTATACTATCATTTAATTTTTTACTTAAAATGCAAAAATATTAATTTACATCCCAATTATTATTATTATTTACACATTTATTACAAACGACATAATAAAATATAAAAGTAATTTATAATGCAAATACTTTATTTACATATTTCATTGAAAATCAAAATTTAAGTATAATTTGTTACAAATTTTGATATATCTCAAATGATTCTAGTTTCTTTTATGCATATGTATGTTTTTAAGGCTTTATTATTATGTAATTTTTTATCATCGGTTATATTTAATGGTGTAAAATGAATTTCAGTAATTGTGCTACTATTAGAAAACATAATTTATCTACTATTTAAAATTATCTGAATTACAGCCAAAAATTTATTTTTTAATAAAATTGTAGTTTCTTTATTGATTAATTACTATAACAATATTTAATATAGAAATATATTTTTCATGTGAATTATTTTTATCTTTAAAAAAGGAGAACAAGTGCTTTAAACTTATTTTTTTTTGTGTAGAAATACTGATATTTATGCAGCTAAATTTAATTTAAAACATATGTTTTTGTATTTAATTTTCATCATATTTTATTATCGAATTAGAAATATTCATATTAGAGTGAAAACGTATTAATACAAAGAAAGTCGAAAAAATGTTTATTTTATAAATAATAAGCAAACTAAAGGATTGACAGTAAAAGTATTCAAAACATTTTTTCTAAGAGCTTGATTGCTGATTAGAAAAGATAAATTTCATATTACTAACATCAAAGAATATTTCTGACATCCTAAACATTAATTTTTGCTCTTATCAAAAAAATAGAAATGTCAAAATTTTTATGAAAATTAAGAAAGTAATTATATCTACTTATATCGATTGTTTTCGATTTAAAAATATCAATGAACTTAATTTTTAACATTTTTTTAGCAGAAATCATGTATTTGATCATAGATATGTAAACATATGCCTTAAAAAATTTTATGAACATTATTGGTATTTATGAAACAAAAAATTTACAATTTACCTTTATATTTATTATCCTACACATGTTCAAAGAAAAAAAACGAAAAAATAATATTGTAAATAAAAAAATAAATATAGTTTAGTTTCGAATTTAGATTTGAAAAAGCTTTTTGAATGCTTTTAGTAAAATAATAAGCATATTATTATCAATGTAAAGATCCTTAAATTTAAATATATCTTTTTTGCACCCCTTCAGTCTGAAAAAAACCATTTAAAATCACACATTCTAAAATTTAAATATGACTTGAAATCATCATAAAAATTACAATAAAAAAAACTTATTATTTACACAACTAATACTTAGATCAGACAATAACAATAATTTACATATCTTAAAATATAAATTTTAACTCAAAACAACAAAATCATAAATATATTCAAATAAACAAAATTTTTTAAAAATTCTATTTATCTATATATTATGAGACATATAAAGAGCATCTGAAAAATAATAAAAAAATATTTGCACAGATTTTAAGTGGTTCTACAATTATTTACATGTTATTGAATTTTTTGAAACCTGTGATGGAAAATTAAACTCGAATGTAATATTAAAGAAACGAATTTAAATATTAGAAAATTTACCAATGTACTTTTATCGATATTTTGTGATTTTAGCTGCTAATATAAAAAATATATGGTCAAATATATACCATACAAATAGAAAAGTGATAAAAAAAAATGAATTAAAATTTAATTAACTTAATTCACAAAAAAATATGTTAAAAATGTCGCGCACAAAAAAAAAACTCTATTAAACAAAATATCAATTGTAAAAGAAAAAATATAGCAAACAATATAAAATATGATTAAAAAACATATATTATTTGATTTAGAGGAAAATCAATAGGTTAATAATCTTTTCTAATGTTTTTGATCATTTCAGGACTATAAAACAATAAATTTAATTTTATAATTCATTAATTAATTGTTTTATTTTTTTATAGGATTTTATCTAGTTTATAATGATGATTTTTAGAAAACAAAACAAATCTTTGCCATTGGCATTTTATTTTTTTTCATAGAATTTTTTTATCATAATAAAACAGTTAGTGTAAATCATACCACTAAATAAAAGAAATTTGAACACAATACGAAAATTAAAAACCGAAGATTGGATATTATGTTCTAAAAGATATGTGGTGATTTATTATATATATAACTAGAACACAAAAAATGAATCGTAAATTGAAAAATATAAAAGCATGGTTTCAATTATGCATTAAAAAATTTTCAAAATAAAAAAATATCGTTAAATTATCTTTAAATATTGACTGTAAAAAAGTTAAAAGAATAGCACAATTTTAAAAAAGGAAAAAAATTAATGTTTGAACACAAAAATTTACTTTTTCGATTATTTATAATTACTCAAAACCTTAATCTTATTTTATGAGATATAAATACAAATAAACAAATGAATTAAATTTCATCATTCTTATATTATCATTAAACTCAAAAAATTGGGTGAAAATTAAATGCATATAAAATATATTTCAGTATAAATAGAAATATAAAGCATTTATAATTGAATTACAAAAAGAATTTAACATATGATCG